CCGGAAACGTCGAACTCTTTCTCAGCTTGGGAGACCCTGCTGGAGGATAAACCTCCGCTGTACTTCGCAGATCGACACCCAGAGTCACCCCCGCGCCACGATGAGGCGGTAGACCATCTGTCACAGATTAGAGTCTGGCAGGAGAAAATACACCTCAATAAATGCTCGCAACTTTTTGCGCTTCCACTTATTCTCTAGGGAGATAGTGTACCTTAATAAATGTTTTCAATAATTTTAGTTGACGCAGGGTTTGATAAAAGCGAAGAAGTCCACAAAACACAAATTCTTGAGTTGTAAGTCAAAGTTTTAACCAAGCAAATATAAAAGAGAGTTCTGTAAATTAAGAAGCACTTAGTTGTCTAATTTGCTACCTTTTTCACATGCAAACTCACCTCTTTCGGGTTTTCAAGTGTTCTGCGCGATTTCTAGAAAAACAAATTGAAAATAACGAATAATAGTAAGATTGTAACTGCGTACTTGTTTGTCGCGTACTAGCGTAAATTGTTTGATCTTCCCATTATGGTAGGGCTGCCAAGAACCCTAAACACTTGTTATTAAAAAAATTATCTTCTGTAAACTGGATTGATTTCATGAATTGCAACATTATAAAATGAGACTACCTGTGACAATGATGTCCCACTTGGAGACCATACCAGCTGAAAGTGGTAAGTTACAGTGAAATAAATGTGAAAGTTCAAATGCCTTAGTGGAAACTTACCCTCTTTATGGATGGTCGAGTTCTTGGTTTTCTCTCCTAAAATGGAAATGGAAAGGAAAAGTTAAGATGATCAAAGAAAGTTTCCTCGAAAAATGATTATCCAAAGTTATAGCGGAATTTCTGCTGAATTGTTAGAGTGTTAATTCCATGTTATCGTTTCCGATTGTATAGAGTATACAGCTACACTATTCATATTTTTTAGTTAGTTTGCGGAAATGAATAGTAATGTAATGATGATAAAAGCGTACATCTTCCGCGAACGGGCCGTGCTTGTCACCATTTTTCACCAGAATGGGCATATGTTTAACGTTTGGTGGTATTCCAAATACCTAGAACAATACGATAATCTACTTTGTCGTGACAAATTTGGGATCTCCCTCTACCAAAAAGAACATCAAACATTTACCTGTTGTACTGCATCATCCACAGATATCCATTCTATCTAAAAGTGTAGGTTTAGGCCTAGATCATGGAGAAAACTTATAGCTAAAGTACGCACTTTACCGCTGCTTGGCTGCAGAGTAAGACCGGCCTGACTTATAGGAGTTTTAGTTACAGACTTAAACAAAACAAATGTTAGAAGTATTAGACAACTCTATAATTTTGGAAATCTACAGTTGCAGAAGCTTGTGTTGCCATTTCCGGAAGGTATGCCTCCAAGGGTTCACGTGCCGTCATTAGTCTCTTCCGCTCCTAAAATTCTCCAAATTTCTACTACTTTGAAAGTTATGTTACTGTAAAGGTAGTTTATATGATAAAGTTGTGATGGAGCACCTTTTCTTCAGCATAATTAAAAAGAAACGTTGTTGCACTGAACAAGGCGGAATATATGGCGAAGGCACCAATTGCAGTGATCACTAAATCAGGTAAAAACTAGGAGTTAGATGACGTTTTTCCTTACAAATTTACTCCTACAACAAGCCACCCAAAACCCTTGAGCGGGTACAGCTATAATATTGCAGAGGTAGAAACCAATATCGTTGTAGATGGCCATGAGTGAACCGCATTTTGGCGATAGATCATTTAGTGTTCTCTTTAAG